GACAGACAGAACGACATGCCGACAGACAGAACGACAGACAGATATACGCGACCGAACACATTACCTCGCTGTTGGCGGAGGTAATAAAACTAGATAAGAAACAGAGTGGGATAGATAGCCTTTAAGTACTGTATAAATAGACTTGTTGATCGTAAATAAATTATAGACCTATGACCAAAAACTTAAATTAACTGTAATTAATAAGAAGCTATTAGCTTTTAGTTGTGGTTTATTTTCAAAATAAGAAAGAGGTAATCTGAATTTATTATTGGCAATTATACTTTTACTTTTAATGCCACAACTGTTTAAATCCAGGAATTATTTTAGCAACTAAATAACCATCGCRCAGCAAGACAATCTGAAGTGCATTCACAAAAAATTCAAATGTAACAGAAATGCCAGCCGTTGTGTCGTCCTCGAGATGAACAGATGGAGAGCCTTATGTCCCCTGCCTCAGTGACAGGGGACAAAAAAATTACTATTTTCACCATTCATGATTCTGCTGAATCACTCACTTAGCAAAAACTATCCACCTTCATAGACTTTGGTAGTGAATGGTGTGTATTTATTGGGTATTTTTACCATAGATGAAACATCAAATCGAAAGCATTGAACATTTTTTATATTTTGACAGCATTATGGCTTAAAAAATATGTTTCAACATCCAAAAACAAGTGAAGCTTAGTGCCTTTAGGTTTTTGCTTGAATATCATCATAAAATAAAGTCAAAGAAGATTTCAACATCCGTTTTAGGAAGGTTTGAACCCAGGAATGTAGACAGACATGAGGAGCTTCCATTAAATAAACTAAACTAAACTATATTTAAATAATTCCCCGCTGAGGGATTTTAAAAGTGAATGTTTGTAGGTTTCGAGATGAGTGTTTTCCTGCTGCAACTCTGATCTGAATCCAGATAGGCAGTGAAAATGAATGTATGAATGAAGATGAATGGGAGATATGAGAACACGGGACAAGATCTACTACCTTTTGCCGCTTCCTGCTGCTTCCTCTGTGAGGCTGATACAGTAACCATGTGGAGATAATTGGGTCCACATTTACAGCTACACCCTGGACACTGACCAGCAGAACTGCACCTGAAAAACAAACAAAGCAATAATGTTTCAATCATTTAACCAAAATTGAAAACAGAAAAATAAAAATAAATCCTTGACTTCCAATGGCTGATGTTCAAAAATCCACAACACAGACCCGGCTCCTCACGCACTGAAGAAGCTACATAAAACAGCTATATAAAAGGTCAAATAATAACAGCTGGAATGTTACTGCCAACATTTTAGAAAGACGACGGCAGACCGATGTGAATCTTTGAAATCGGTTTAGGGTAACAACAAACTGAAACTGACTTATGTCAAATCTTTCTGCGCAGCCCAGTTCACAGAGCTGCTGCTGGATATCAGGCATGCTTGTTGGACTGCAGCAAACAGGCACAGTTTGTTTCAATTGTGCTGTTCAAAGTGGTATCACACTAAGGCTAGAATAACATTTTCTTTTGATAAATTTCATTGAAACTCAAGACCTTCTCTGGGTTTTGGTTTACTCTTAAAAAATAATCTTTACCAACAATAAGCAGGCCCTGAGGTAATGCATTAGGATCATATCAATAACGATTCCCATGCCGGCAGGATTAGTGCAGGCTCTTTGGCGTGCTGTGGAATGTCCCAGCATGACGATGGGAGGATGTTTTAGCTCTAGAAGGACTTTCTGCAGTTTAAGAGAGATTTGGACAAAACTCCGCTCTTCTGTTTCAAACACTCTGTCAAGCCCTGAGGCCTGTGTGTTGCTCTAAATGTGTCTGTGTCTTCTTTTCCAATAAAGTCTGATTGCCCGCTGCTTTCCCTAACGTTTTAATGTTTCTAAAACAAATGTTAGGCCCTACCTTAACTCACACTACTAAATACACATGTTCACCAAACATGTTTTTATTGCGCCAGTTCCTCTGCTTGGCTTCCCCAGTTGTTCATTATTCCAAGTGGACGACACAAATAAAACCACTTTTAYAACATGTGATTTGTGGCCTGCAAACTTACGTTGCCTTTTTGTCTGCTTTTATTTGCTGTGAAATAAATGTATGACTTAAAGCACAGACGATGTGGAAAATCTCAGCTGTACAAATGTGCAGAAATGATTGTGTTTGATTCATTACAGGCTTTGCATTTATCAGTATAAGTGCTTAGTTTCAACATGAACTTTATTACATACATTGTGAAGATTAATGGTTATAATATTTTACCTTAATAGGTAACCATGATTTGTTACTGGTGTTCAACTATTATGTGTAAAAAGGAATTACCCTCATGGGGTTATTCTGACATATAGTTTTTCCCCTACTGCCATATCTATACATTCATCTTTACATATCTTTGTGTTTCATTGCATTCATTTTGCACTTGAAACACCTGTGTTTCTTCAATGGCAGCTTTCAACCCTGYAAGATCTTTTTTTAACGCCCTCCTTCAACATCTTCCTCTGTGCTCCTATCTTCCTCTTCATCACAGTCTTAGCTCTTTCAACATAATCTTTTTGCATCTTTGCAAAACCATTCCTTTACATTATACATCTTATTTTCATCAACCTACATCCATCAGTCACTCCCTTCTCCTGTCAAGGAATTACAACCTCAGAACTGTGGCTTGAACTTTAATACCACAATGTGGCTGCTAAATAGGCTTTGGCTGTAATTCTGGGACTCGACTTCAAGCGGTTTCGTCATCGCTTAGGGCAGCATGAGCAATAGAGAACCCAAAAGACTGGGAAGAGCTTGAGAAGTGAAGATGTCTTCAATGAATCCATCCTAAATTGTGGTCTTTGSGATGTACTGAGCCCAATCAAGCGCATTCAGCAGAAATGGTTCATAAACCAATAAATCAACTAATATAGCAGATGGATTGGTTTTTCACAGTTACGGAAGAAATGAAAAATATTTTAGAGCAAATTTCATATTAAGGTTTATCAGAAAGAAAAAAGTTGCGTTGAAAAAGAGTTGTGAGCTGCAGTTTCACTAGATAATAAAATATGTGWATCTAGTGAACATTTATAGTCAGGACACAAAATCCAATAAACAAGAATTCATACTAAGTAGAAAAAAACTATGCTCATGGTTTATTGTGTGTGCAGACGTCTACCAAGTTGGCTGCTTAACTAAGTGCCAGTTTTCACAGTGTTTTCTGTGTTGAGTCAGTAGTCAAACTGAATCGGTTTGTTATGTCTGTATGGAACTGGATAATGATAGAATACACCATGTTTACAGATCACAACACCACTCAAAAAGCCGTCTTTCTAAGATTACCTTTCCCATCTGTGCCAGTTTGACAGTGACAAAGAATTTAAATATGTGTTGGCCTGGCCTTTAAAGCTTTGAAGGCCATGGCTTCACCATTCACAATGTGTTCTTGTTTCATCATTGTGTTGACATAACTGTCTAGGAGTGACAAATCCTTTGAAGCRTGCAGCACTTTGAAAGGGCCTAGCATGCTTAAAGCGTGACCTCGGCAGCAGGCTAACTGTTGTTTTTCCGCCAGTCTAACAGGGTGGCATATAGGTAATTACAGAAAGTGATGACAATGATAACAAAAGGTGTTTTTCTTACTTCTTAAATRATTCCTGAAGAAAACACCAGAACGCTGCTCAGTGGCCTAGACTTTTAAAATATGTACAATCACAGAAAAGAGTATGAAGGGATACTTGAGTTGACTCATCGTGAACCCATTAATGTCAAGTGTTTTTTTTCTCTATAGTGGCGAAAGACCAGTAGATTTAAAAAGGAGAGCATGGGGGTGTTGGTGTTGTTTTACGGCCGTCTGACATCAGGTTGCTCAAGGCCTAAGGCTATATTATCCCAGAACCCCCCAAAAAGGAGTTGTAACCAGTTTAGTCTTGTCTATATTCTTGTAGCAATCGTCTTTCATGGATTGACCACTAAAGAAATCTAGATGTTAAATCTCTGTCTTTAACTTGGATTTAGTGCTTGTAAAAAGTATTTACCTCTTTGAATGTTTTACCCTTTTATTGCTATTATAAAATCAATCACGGTCTGCATAAAATGGCCTTTTTGACCTTAAAAAAACCCTTTTCAATGACTAAGTGAGATCAGTATTTTTGGGCCTCATCCACACAAAATGCTGCACTTCCAAAACAATGTTTTTTTGGTCATATAAAAAAAATCTATATTGTATGATATAAATATTATATTTTTATGAACAAAGTACCATTTCTAGAAATGTATTCATCCACATGAACAGACATAAAAGGACCCACATGCTGCAGTAACTATTTTATTTCTCCATCGTCAAACCCATTGGTAAAGGAGACTGTCAAGCAGAAGAATTCCTATCAGGTTTTGTAGGCTGGTAGGACCCTAGAGGCAGCTGAGGGATATCGGTGGGCCAAGCAAACCAACTGGGCTGCAGCGCTGGTTGTTGCTGAGGCAAAAACTCAGACATGGGAGGAGTTTGGTGGGGCTTTGGACAGAGACTCCATCAATTCTGAGGAGATTTTGGTAAAACATCTGGCCTCTGAGTTGGGGTAAACAGCACTTCAACAACAGGGCATACATGTCAAAACCTTCGGACAGTTACCTGTATAATGAACCTCAAAAATCTGTATTTTTTGCAAAATTGCTCATGGCCTAAGGCTATATTATCCCAGATCCCCCAAAAAGGAGTTGTAACCAGTTTAGTCTTGTCGAAGTTCTGTGTTGTGTTCTTGTAGAAATTGTCTTTCATGGATTAAACACTACAGGGATCTAGGTACAAAATTTCTCTGTCTCCTCTCATCTCTCCTTCTCTGTGGGTTTGCAGGCAGACTGTCGGACACGGAGATGACAGCACCTGCAGAGCAAAGCAGGAGAAAGGAGGACGGGAGAGCTTATTTCTAGTGGCAGACTGGGTTGGAAGATGGTTATTTAATGTTACTCGTTTATTTAACATCCTACAAGCTCTGCCATGTTAAATAAATTTGAAACTGAGTTTTTGAAAAAATCGGTGGGATTCCTTTATACGTCCGTATACCTGCAAAATGAGGGAAAATCCTTGTAAATTGCGGACAATCCATACAACTTGACATATGACAGTGCATATAGCTGCGGTGAAGCGTAGTTGACAACAACCACTGATGTCATCAGGCAGGTGAAGGAATACTTTTCAGACCTTCTCAATCCCATTAGCACATCTTTCGTGGAGGCTGAGTAGGGGGACTTGGGGGCTGGTCCATCCATATCTGGAGCAGAGATCAGTGAGATAGTTAATGGTGGCAGGGTCCTGTAGTGGAGCCTTGCTCTGAGCTCCTTAAGGCTCTGGATGTTGCTGGGCTGTCTTGGTTGACACACCTTTAAAATATTACATGGACAATGGAGGCAATGCCAGTGGATTGGCAGACTAGGGTGGTGATTCCCTTCTTCAAAAACGGGGGCCAGAGATTGTTTTAACCCAAACCTCCCAGTAAGGTTTATTCAAGGATGCTAGAGAATAGAGTCCAATCAATGATCAACCCTCAAATTCCGGAGGAACAAAGTTTCTGCACTTTCCAAGGAAAACTTGACCAACTCTTCACCCATGGGTCTTCGAGTTTGCCCAACCAGAATACATGTGTATTACTGACTTCAAGAAGGCCTTCAACCAAGGTATACTGTGGAGGGCACTCCTTAAGCATGGGATTGGGGGTCTGAGTTGGAAGAGGTAACTATGAAAAGAGAGGTCTGCGCCTCTCTGCTAAAGATGCTGCCCTTGCAACATAAATCCAGAACAGGACAGATGGACCAATTTAGGCTGTCCACACACAAACACCAAGGTGCCATTTCAGGATGTTTCCACTCTAGAACCCAGTTTCCAAAAATACTATTGGGAGGCTCCTAAAACTCATTTTGTTTAGATGCATGGCAGAAACAATAAAACTCATTGTATCCATAAAGCACTGTTAGTGTGTGGATGGGGTCTTAAGTATTTTAGCTCCTTGATTTCAGTGAATATGCAGTACAACAGTGTTGTATTAAGTAGATAAATATGAATGGACAAACTTCATAAACAGGCATCTGTTTTGCTGTTCACCATTATTAGGATTGGGGTGATAAATCAGGACC